CAAAAAAAAAAAAAAGAGGCCACCAGTGGTGACAGAAAGGGAAAAAAAAGAAAAAAAAAAAGGAGACAGCCTTGTTGACGGTAGTAAGGACAGTGATGAAAGTAGCTTTAATCAAAATTTGTTTTTAGGGTTTCTTTTATAGGAGAAGAGAATTTTTTTTAATGAAAAATAAGAAATGAATAGGAAAAAATTTTAAGGTTTTATAATTAAGGCCAACAAAAAAAAGTAAAGGAGAATTAGGTCAACCCATGACCTGATCTAGCTGGTTAACCTAATGACCCAACTCATACCCATTGGTTTAACACCCATGACCCAAACTGACCTAGGCTCCAACCCAGTCACCTAACTCAACCTAGCTGGTCTAATCCAAGTCTAATTAGATATGCACCAAATTGAGCTCCTTTTTGTTATGGATCATATTAGATTTAAGTCCAATTTAGGTAAATTTAATTCACTCATTAGTTATTTGTTCATTTTTACATGCATTTTTTTTATAAATAAACTTTAATTATTTTAAAATATTGATAATGAAATAAATAAATAAATATTATCATCATTGTATATTAAATGATTAAGATCATAATTTTAATTTTTCCTTGCAAAAATCGTATGTGTTAATGTAATGCAAGTAAATTAATTAAATTTTTTAATACTACTTAAATGTTGGGGTATTTAGGAAATTTTATGAAAATCTGCATGAAAACATTTTTATGAAATAATTTGTTCCCCAATGTCATTTAGATATTAAGGTAGTAGGAAATTTTATTCCATTAAGAATTTCTATATATTTGCACAACTCAAAACAAATTTATTTTGTTAAAACAACAAATATAAAAATATAAAATAATAAAAATAAATGGATGAGATTTTTAAATATAAAAGGTCGTACCCAAACTTTACCTAGATGTTGGAGAGTCTAAGTGGTCTTTTTATATTTGAAAATCCAATTTCTAAATTCACATTTGATCATCATTTGCATATTTTCATTTTTAAATTAATGTACTCATTTATAATATAGATATATATGTTTGCTCTAGTTGTAAATGTTTAATATTAATTATATTACTATTTATTTTTATTTTATTGCATAAAAAGTTTTCTTAAAAATTTTTAGTTTTGAACAAATTAAATTAAAATAGCATTTCATGAAATATAATTGTCGGTACTCTGCTTAAATGTTAAAGAGTCATCAATAATTATCATTTACAAAGAGAATTATTTTCTTATTTTTGAAAGAATGTTAGATAAATCTTAAATGAAAAGATTATTTTCAAATTTTGCTTTTATATCAGAGACTTTGGAGGTATTTCTTTAATTTGAAATTTTTCATAATATTCCTAAATGAAGATTTTTAAACTAATTTTATTTCTTAAAAACAAATGGAATTATAATTAAATTTTATAAAAAATCATTTTTATTCAGAATTATAAATAGTGCATAATTAATTGGTACCAATTCTATGGGCACTGTGGAGATGCTAATCTTTTTCTATGCGTAATCGACTCCCAAACTTGATTTTATTTTCGTACACCAAAATTATTTTTTTAATAAACTCTAAACCCATTTTACTGTTTTATTAAAAAGATAAACTTTTGAATGGTTAATCACACCCTAAAAAAGATTAGTGGTGATTTCTTATATTTTTTTTATAATTTTTTAGTTTTTTACATCTAGTGATCGAGTCTCCAAACCAATAGTTATAACAAGTATGGTTCATAGGTTGAAAGAATAATTATCTACGTCATTTGATACACAAAATATAAGTCTAGCGAAGCAGATTTTTGGTATGGATATTATCCATGATAGAAGAGCTAGAAAGCTATAGTTGTCACAGGAAAAGTATGTTGAATGAGTGTTTAGTAGATTCAACATGTAGCATGCTAAATCAATTAGCAATCCACTAATCAACCATTTTTATTTGAGTAAAAAATCTTATTCAGTGACTAAGGAAGAGCAACTAGCTATGTTTAGTATTCTTTATTCTTCTGCAATCAATTTTTTTATGTATCTTATGATTTGCATACGACCTGACATTGCTCATGCAATTGGTGTATTAAGCAGATTTTTTTCTAATTCGAGAAAGGTTCACTGAAAAACAGTAAAATAGATTTTTAGATATTTAAGAGGCACCTAAAAAACATGGTTGAGTTATGAAGTTTCACAACTAGTTCTATAAGGGTTTATTGATGTTGATATGGCAAGTGATCTTGATGGTAGAAAATCTACTTCAGGTATTTATTCACTTTTACAGAATGAACTGTATCTTGACAGTCTAAGTTATAAAAGTGTGTTACCTTTTCAACTATAGAAGCTGAGTATATTGCAGCAATCGAAGCAGGTGAAGAAATGCTTTGGATCAAATGTTTTCTTTTTTAGTTAGAGTTGAATCAAAAAGAATATATGGTATTTTGTGATAGCTAGAGTACTTTAAATTTGAGTAAGAATGCTATGTACCATGCTAGAACAAAGCACTTGATATTAGATATCACTGGTTATATTCAACGATTGGGGAATAATAGATGTAGTTGAAAAAAGTTCATACTGACAAGAATGTAGCAAATATGTTGACTAAGATATTTCTCAGGAAAAAGTTTGAGCTTTGTAGTTACTTGGTTGGAATGGGTTCATTGACCAAGGTAAGTTTTAAATGAGACTACAATGGTGATAAATCTCCTCCTCACGGAGTTGAAAGGAAAGATTGTTAGAAATGTGTGGGGTCTAACTCCAATTTGTTTCCACCAATTACAAGGTCTAAAGCCTTTTGTCTTTGACCAAGATAAAAAGCTCTACATATTAAAAGAGTTATAAGTAGTATGAAAATTGTGAGTGGCACTACAAACCGAGAAAAATAAAATAAAAAAGTAAAAAAAGATAAAAAGAAAGGGACAAAAAAAGAGTTGATTGAACGGAAATCGATTCATAGTTTAATTGAGCTGAAATTTTGTCAGTAAGTTTATGATTCAGAGTTATACATTTTAAATAGTGAATATCATATTTGAAGCTCTCTAAAAATAAATTCATGATGTATTTGTTGAGTTACCTATTTTATTAGATTTATTCAATTGTCTATAGTTGTTAATTAGTTCTAGTTTTAGTTAAAGAAAAACTTTGTATATTTATTATTTGATAATGAGATTTTTCTAGTGATCTGTGATTTTTTTCTTTTACACTAGAAGATTTTTCCCGTCAATCTTGAAGTATTTTATTTTTCTTGCATTGTTGATTGTTGTTTATTCTATGGGTTTATTGTGTTATATTATTTCTATGTTTATCACTTTAGGCCTAATAAGTAGTATCAGAGCCAAGGTCACGGGTTCGAGTTTCAGTGGTGTTGCTAGGGGAAAGATTATTGGCAGTCAGGGTTGGTCACATCTATCAACTCTATGTGTTTGAACGTTGATATTAGAGTGAAATGTTCGACTTAAATGCAACGAGTATGTGATAATATGCATAAATGAAATATCTATGTAGGTGATGTATTGAATCAATCTGAAGTACAAGCTTAAAGGGGTACTGAGATAACTTAAGCAACAAGATTAAATATTATGATTTGACTTAAAAACATATTAAAAATGTGAGGTTGTTTGCTTAAATAAAGTGTTAATAGGACTTTACTTGCACGAGGGAGTCGAGGTGTGCTCCCATGACTCAAAGTGGAGCAAATCTCTCAACAATTTTCATCATGTAAGAAAAAACAAAAAATTCTGAGGTTCACTATGATTTCGCCGTAAATGTTACCTAAACTGAGCTGATTAAAGTTGGTAGAGATTTTTTCCCCTCCTGTTCACCATGACAGCGATGATTAAATGCAACCATATGAACACCTTCGTCGCAGAATGTAGAATAGATAGGTAAATGTAGTAGAGAGAAACAAAAGAAAACCCGAGAAAGCTACTTTCCCATTGGCGTAACTTACGGATTAAACAGCAAAAAGGGGAAAATAGTTAGGGATACACACAGAAAAACGGAAATGTTTTTTACAGCTTAACCGAGGCCCACGAGCTGATGGATCACATCAAATGGCGACTTTTAACATGATCTTATGAGACCATCACCCTTAGCCCTTTTGACCTTGTGATGGCTCATGGTTTTCGTACTACATCTGGTAATTCTTTTCGATGATTGGATTCATTCACCTAATTTGCTGTCAAAAGTTGCAAACTCTGACCAAAATGCCAGAAAGTCCTGATGGATTGAACACGTCAAATCCGGACATTTAACTTTTTTGGTTATATAACAAACAATGACAGCAATTGTGCTCTTCTCTGGCTGGTATTAAATACTGGTATGACGTTGGGATGGCATCATTCATCAGTACTAAAATGTAAAACTGACGACAAATTAAACATCTTTGTTAAGAGATTTTAATTCTCTTAAAGTATTAGTATTAAATTTTATTAGGTCAATGAAATTTATCAGTTTAGACCATTTAACCAAGAATTAAGTCGAAAAGGGAAGAGAATGTACATGGGAACCACCAATGAAAACAGATTCTGCAGCTGTCTGATAGTTAAAAAAGCACTGGAATATTTTTGTTTCTGTGCTTATCGCAATATCTTCAGGTAGCGAAGAAATATACAGGACTTCGTCCGTAGGTTCTGATGTAATGATTATGTAATTTCTTTGACTATATGCCACCCCAGGAAGATGCAAACGATATCCTATCTTCTTTTACTGGGTCAAAGTGTGAAAACTATTTACAAATCTAAGTTTTTTATATCACCTTACCCGAAAGCATTGACAAATCTACCTATTTCCTTTGAGGAAAGGCAACGTTGGTATGCAAGAATGGCCAAGTCTGAGCTTCTATTAGCTTTTCAAATCCTATATCCGATGGATTAGTCTATTAGCTATAAAAGATTGATCTTGCTGTAGCTTTTCAGAAAGCAAGTTTTTCAGGTCATCATAACCAATTGACAACAATTAAGCACATAGTGTGCTTACTAGACAAAACATAAAAAGTATTGCTCAATGCCCAATACAAATCGTATAATTAATAATCTGAAAATATGAAAATTCTAAGATATTGAGGTCATTTGCAATGGAGCATTGTACCATTACTTTCGAGATATTGCATCCTTTGCAGATTCAAGGGTTGAGACTACAGCAGCAGCAGCACCAGTCAGGACACCCCCTCTGGTATTCTGGTTGCTTTGCAGATGTTGGTGAATCACCTGCACACTCTTCGGCTCTTGGCCCTTCCCTGCTGATGAACGATGGTCCAATGTTTCCACCTTTCTTTCAACTTCACCTTGTGCATTTGTGGTCTCACTCCCCTGTCCATATCAAAATTTTTTAATAACAATTCACGAAGAACAACATTATTGAGAAACTGAAGAGGTTAAAGCATTACCTTCTTGGATTGCATGTTCATATTGAATGTCACGATTCTGGATTTTGATTTTAAAAAGTGATGAAGAATATATATTAGACACTATAAATAGTAAGCCCCCCATCCCTTGTTTGTTGTTTATATTGGGCCATGGCCGACGAATGCTTGGTCTCCAACACTATTTTCCAGCAGAAAGAAGAGGCCCTAACATCAAGTGAACACCACCAGGTGTCACCCTCTTATATCCCATATACAAGACTAATCTATTTTGCAAGCTCTTGCAAATTTTCCACAGCATTTTCTTTTCAAAATTTCTTTCTCCTTTTATCACCCCAGTATTCTTTTTATGATTTCTTTCTCTTTTCACAACTTTTGTCCTTTGAATTAAGAGCTTTAAGGAAGCTGAATAAATGTGTCTAGCTAGACAATCATCTCAAATTTTTATAGAGCACAACCTCAGTTAAAAATGGCCTCCTGAAGCAGAAAGGAAACATAGAGTAGTATGTCATTCTTACACTTTCCAAATGCACAACACGATCTGAACAGAAATTGCAAACAATTCAGGTCACGACTATATTATGTCCCGTTCTAAACACTACTGGTTGAACTACAATTGAAACAAGACAGAACTGTAGATACATGGCAAGGAAATTGGACAAAACTGTATTGTCAACCATATCTTAAAAGTCTATAGCAGATTGCTGATCAGTAAGTCATAAGAGGCGACCCACTGCAGTGGACATCAGAAGCATCAGAGAGCTTTTGCCTTTGAGACAATGTTGTAATTTCAGCAGCATCAACATCGATGTTCAAAATGTTTTTCCTCTTCTGGGTTTCAAAACTGGCTTTTTCTTCTGATACCTCAGCAATTGGACTCAAGGCCTCTGCTTCCTTGGGGTGAAGAGACACCATGGCTTGAGCTTCAGTCACCACTGATGATGCATCACCATCTGTAGCATATAAAATCCTTTTGATAGCTGCAACAATCTACAATAATATGTGGTAAACATTAAACAATCAATTGTAACTACCTTTTTTACAACTAATAAAATTTGCCTACTCTAATCTGAATTGTCAAAGAGAAATACCAGTGAGTCTTCAATCTCAGGAGTCTGGCAGAGAATCTCAATGTCTCTCAACTTTGCAAAGTAGAAATCCCTCTCTTTCTCAAGACTATCAACAGACAGCTTCAATTCCGTGATCTACATTGTCAGGAGAAGACATTAGATTCTTCTTAAAATTCTTAAACCAATAATACTATCAATTCATTCATTGAATATAAAGTACCTGTTTATCATAAGCAGCCATTGACATAGATGGTTTGGATGAAGTCTTTGCTGATTGATTTGACGAGTTCATGGATGATGAAACATCGTTGCTGTTCCTTTGAGCATGGTAAGATGGAGGTCTAGGAGCAGCAGTTGAACCCTTGGTTGAGGATTGTTGTGGTGCTGATTTCTTGCCTACTTCTTTTCCTCCTTTAGAAGCCTCTCTCCTTTCCACTGGGTTGTAACTAAATATGACAACAGCAAAAACCCCCTCATAGATCTTTTCACTTCTTATCTATGATATATAGACCTACTAGGTAAAAATAAGCCTTGATGCAGGATAACAACACCAGAAAGAGAAACCATTCACTAAAACTAAAAGTTAAACAACTGAAATCAATTTCTTGAAATTCAATTATGAATTATGAAAATGCTAGAGCCTAGGTCTAAATGATAGTACCAATTGCTTGGAAAAGAAAAAACCTTAACTTCAAGCACATTGCAAGTCTCAAATATGACTAAAACTATTGCAGTCTGTCAAATTAGTAATGGCAGAAAAATTAATATAAAAAATGCCAAATTTTAATGAAGAAATTGGTTTCAAAGTCATATATAACAAATAATATTAGCCAAAGAAAAAAAGACAGCAATAAGTTTGAGAAGGCCAATTATTCCTAAAATTTTAATAATATAACAAATTTGAAATTCTATAGGGGAAAAAGAAACCATTAAGAACAAGAACAAGAAAACCCAGAAGGAATGTAAAATAGCTAAAATTAATTGACAAAATCTAACAGATTAAAAAGAAAATTAGGGTTTGAAAAAAATTACTTATGAAGACCGCCTCCATTGACAGAATCACAATATCTTTTCATCCATTGCATGAACTCCAGATTATCAAGCGGCCTCCCTTTCACTAGCTTGCTCACCTCGATATGCTAAAACCACCAAAAAATTTTAAAAAAATCAAGATTCAAAACCAGAAAAAAAAAAAAAAGAAATGATGACAAAATTAAATTAAAATTGAAACCTTGGTGATTTTGAGTTTGATAAAGATGTCTTGGAGGACTTTGTAATTTTGGATCATCTCGTATTCGTTTTTGGCGTCGAAGTTGACTTTGTGCATCGGCACCATTCCAGGATGAACCGCATCCATCAGCTGGCAATGAACCGCACCGGAACATGCCTACACACCAGATCGAAACAAAATCCTTTTTAAAAAAACTCAAAACAAATCAACGAAATTAAAAAAATAAAAAACACCTCTTCGACTTTGGAGAGATTGAGATGAAGAGTGGAGTTGATCCACGCAAGAATCTCAGATCTTCCGACGAAATAAGCCGAATCCATCATTCCGATATTCGTCGCCATTGCTTCTTCTTTTTTTTTCCCCTCTGAGGGTTTTCCTCTTTTTTTTTTTTTTTTTTTCGTTCTAACGGCTATCGGTGTTAGGGAAGAAAAGTTTGAAGGGTTTTTGAAAGAGAGAAGAGCGGGATGTTTCGCATCTCAAAAAATGACGGCTTGGGCAGCCCAGACCCACCGGAGTCGCCGGTCCACTATGTATGAGTTGCTTAATTCCCGCTAAAGGTTAAACTCATTGGGCTAATGTAGCCCAAAGTGGGTCCTTTATTGTCGTCCTTGATGTGTAAAATACAAATTAAGCCAGGCTATTTTTTTATACGGTCCATAGATTATTATTACTCCATTTATATGCATTAATGCAAAAGATTGAGCACTGAAGCTACAAGTGTATTATTATAGATTATTTAATGGTTAAATGGTCCATGCACGCATTTTCACCAATATTGGAAACTGGGTTTCACTAAATTCCCATTGCTATTTGCTGCCAATGATGATGTCTCAGCCTTAATTTGGGGTGAAGCAGTGTTGGAAAAACAGGGCAGAAAATGAAAACGAAAATGAAGATGAAAATGAAAGGTGATAGCCAGAATAGGGGAAGGGACAAAAAAAAAAAAAACATAGCTATTCGGAAAGGATAAGTTGCCTTATAAACAATGAGGGGATGCTTCTTCAGAGAATGATCGATCCTTTTGCATTGATAGTGTTAAAGGACAAATAAGAATATTATATCCTCCGCCATTGCCAGGCGATTCATTAATATTATATTAAGGCTGAGTATTTGAAAAAAAAAAAAAAACCTCTGAATATCTTGCAAAGATACTTTAATGGGTTATTAACACAACATAACAAGACAAAAGAACTAAAGAAAACAACGATAGACCCAAAATTTCTAATCCTAGTAAGTTAATAAAAAAAAGATGGATTGGGTCTAACAATTAGCAATAAATATTAGTGTCACACCAAGAAGATCCAACTCGTGATGTAGAAACAAATTTTTTAAAAACAAATTCTCTCTACAAAGGAAGTCTCCAATTTTGTCCAAAGTTTATCAGTGTCCATAATAATGTGATGAAGATGAAGTTGAAGAAGGGATTTTCTCAAGAATTTGTAAGGCTTCTTTCATCGGGGGTCTCTTTTGTGGTATTGGAGATGCACAATTGTATCCTAACTTGAAACAAGCCAGCAAAGCCTCCTCTTTGCCTTCCAGTTCAGCACGAATTGCCGCATCAGCCATCCTCAATGCCTTGATTTGGTCTTCAACTACAATCCCATTTCCCTGACCCAACTCATCCACAACAATGACTTTCCCTGTTAGAAGCTCAAGCAAAATGACCCCAAATGCATACACATCCCACTTCGGATTGGGCTTGAGGCTCCTTAGTGATTCCGGGGCGTGGTATGGCGATACACCAAAAAAGCTCGGGCTTGAACTTGGGCTAGGTCCTGCTAGATCTTGGTAGCTATCTCTTGATGCCGTTGACCTCTTACTACCAAAATTTCGGGCTGACACTCCAAGTTTAGGACCCGTGCCACCTGTTATTAGCCTTTCGAGCCCAAAGTCTCCAATCTTTGGTTCCATGTCGGAGCCTAACAGGACATTGCTCGGCTTCAAATTGGCATGCACATGCTTCTTCTCATGGAGATATGCCAGCCCACGGGCCACACCTTTAGCAATCTTTAGCCGAGCCTCCCAGGGAAGATGAGAAGGTGAAGAACAAACTTTTCCTGAAATGAGAAAAAAAAAAAGGGGGATCCAGCGCAGTCGGCAAATACCCATATTATTTTTTCTAACGTGCGAATACGTTTCACTTTAAAGTGTGGAAAATTGGAAAAATAGGAAGGGAACGAAGGAAAAGGACTCACTGTAACGAGCGTTGGCGAGGCTGCCATTTGGTACAAAATCGTAGATAATAAGCTTTTCATCAACTCCCCAATAGAACCCACGAATCCTGACTAAATTGGGGTGCACCAGTTTAGCAATGACTCGAACCTGGTTCTCGAAATCCCTAAACCGATCCACACTGTTCTCACCAATCCTTCGAACCGCCAAGGAGCTCCCATCTTCAAGCACTGCCTTGTACATTATACTAGACCCCGTGGCACCTAAAATGTAAGCTGATGCTTTAAGCAACGTCTCAAGCACGAGCTGCTTTTCCCCATCAACGGTCACCAATGTCCCTTTTCTGTCATGTTCTTGCTCTTGCTGCCTTTGATTATCATGACTTTTGCTACCGCTTTGATCTTCTTCAGTGTCAGAAGTGGTATCAGATTCTTCCTCGTATTCTCCTCTCTTTCTCAAACATGACCATCTTCTAAACCCTCCTGGTTCTGATGATGAAGATGTCATAGACCAATTGTCTTTGGCTGTCTTAGCTTCTTGCTTTGTTGTAGTCTCAACTCTCTTTTTCCTCTTTAACTTGCAAACGAAAAAGAAAACCATGATGACAAATCCAATTCCTGCTATATCTCCGACTATAATTCCTACTATTGTTCCTGGTTTGAGCCTGCTTTGTCCCGGTTTTTTAGCTCGAGGAGACGATTCCGGCGTGTTGGAATCCGTTGTCTTGGGGATGGCAGCAATCGCTGGAGAAGAAGTTGGTGACGAGACGTTAGGAGAAGATGATGGTGAAGAAGGAATAGGACAATCACGCCTGGTTACTTCACCACACAGACCAGGATTTCCGGAAAAAGATTTGGATTCTTGATTCCTAAAAACAACAGAATCCGGGATTTCTCCCGTAAGATTATTGAAGGAAAGATCAATAGTAGCGTTACCAGGAATTTTCTCAGCGAATTCTGGTGGAATTACCCCGGAAAGCGTGTTGTAAGAAACGCTCATGTACTTAAGATTGTTGCCTCCAAAGTTTGGAGGCAAAGACCCAGAGAGAAGATTGGAAGAAAGATCTAAAACTTGAACAGATTGGAACCCAGTTGGAAGATTTCCGGAAAAGTGATTTTTCTTTAAAGAAACAACAGTTAGATTCGGGATAGTAGTGAGAGTAGAAGGTAAAGTTCCCGCCAATGCATTGTTAGAAAGGTTAAGGGATTGAAGGTGTACTAACCGTCCTATTGTTTCTGGTATCACACCAGTGATCAAGTTGTTTGACAAATCAAGAAACCGAAGCTGGGTTGCGTTGAAAATAGAAAAAGGAAGAGACCCGTTGAGAGAATTGTTGGATAGATCAAGATTTTCAAGGTGTTGAATCATGCCTAGATTGGATGGAATTGAACCAAGAAGCTGACAGTTTGGAAGAGACAAGCCTGTAACACGAGAGGTGTCATTGGAGTTGCCTGGTGCTCCACAAGTTACTCCATTCCAAGAACAGGGCGTCTGGTCGCTGGACTTCCAGCTCCGTAGCACGTTTAGAGGATCACTGAGTATCAAGTACTTGAAAGAAAGCAAGAGAGCTTCATCTGTATTTAGCCCCAAAGCTTGAACCACAAGAAACTCAACAATAACAAGAATTCTCCACCATAAATGGAGTTTAACACTAGAGGAGGAACTCATGATTCGTCAAACTGATCCCACATTTCGTCTATGAAAATAGACAGAATCTGAGAAAGAGAGTGAAGGAAAGAGAGAGAGAGAGAGAGAGAGAGGACTAACAGAAGTAACTGAGATTTATCATTTATGTTAACGAAGGTGCCAGGCGCCAAGTGATGAAAGTTGGTTAAAAAAAACTTCTGGTGCGCAACTCTTTGCAGGTATATAATTTAAGGTTTGCTAGAATTGATTAAATGCTCTCATCCTTAGTTTAATAAAATTATTCCTCTCTTATATCTTTCTCTTGCTTCCGATCACATTTATTGAATAAAATAGATAAAAAAAAAAAAACCGCCAAAAGGATCAGAATAGCATCTTTGCTACAAGACATCTAAGTGAAGTTGAAAAATTGCAGTGCTCTCTCCTCTTAGATTAACTTTAATTAAACTTTCTGTTTCTTTAAAGTTTTTCTATACAGCAAAATACTATAAGCTGTAAACATTTCTTTTCTTTTCAATGGTTATTAGATTGGTTGCATCATTATCTTAATATAGAAATCAGCAAATCTACAAATTTGCATGTACTTTTTTTGGATGGGTGATCAAAATGACAATAAACCTAATTGCTACAAGTCAAGTTTAGTGGTTCTGATTGATATGAAAAATGTTTAAGGTGTGTGATTTCTTTTTTTCCCCACACTTTCAGTGGAAGGGGAATAATATTCTTCTTCTCTTTTTCTTGGTACAAAGACAATGGAATGAGTATATGTTCTGTCAATATGTCATATTTACGTTTTTTTTCTTTTTTGTCAAATTTACATGATTGTGTCTAAGATATACACTATGGGTGTTTCCATTCATTGAAGTATAAAACTGTTGTTATTCGAAATATAGACAAACAGGTCGGGAAAGAAAAGTTGGGTGGGAAATTAATCAAATTTGATGTATTGATGACCATAAATCTAGGGCAACGTTTTGGTGGAGGGTCCCTCAAAATGGTCCTTCCTAGCATCTCATCAGAACGTCATTATTGCATTTATGAGAATTATAGGGTCTTCATTCATTGCTCCACCGTTTGAAAATTTTGACTAGCTGATGAGCCCTTGGTATATTTGACATCTCCTTTATCCTTAAAGATGAAAAACCTTCAAGAATTATTTGACCATGGCCCCAACAATGAGCTATCAGGACTTGCCTCACTTAGGGCGTACAATGTTTGGATGATGTGTTTCTGTTCTTGCCATTTCATTTAAAGATGTGATATATGAGAAATCTGAGACAAAAAAAAAAGGGATAACGGGAAGCAAGAAAGCAAGAAAACAAGAAGCAAAATGATGGACGTTGAAATGACCACCAAAAAACATGGTGATTGTGTTTTATTTGCAAGGTATTATCTAATAGTAATTGTTTATAGGTTACTTCAAATGAACAATTTAATCCATCCATCCACAAAATTTCTAACTAAGCCTAACAGGGCATGTTCTACTGTCTACGTTTTTCATTCTAGTCCATGACATGGAATAACATTTCGACCAATAACCAGCTATGATTCCTCTCCAAATTGTCCTCATTTGGGTAGTGGAAAAGATGATCAAGCGATCCATAGCTCTCTTTTTCTCAACTTTTTTTTGTAAGATTCCAGCTTAGGATGTAGACTTAGCATTGTCTGATTTATATATTGGCAACAAGCCATGTTTGAGTTGACAACAGTGGGGAAGCTTGGATTTTGTTCTTTTCTTCAAATAGCTGTTCCATCCCAGAATTTTAAGATCTAGATTTGTAATCTTTGTTCAGACATGGGAGTTCATTATGTCATCCATCATCATCTTCCTCCCTCTTTTTCTTTTTAAAATTGTTTGTGGCAGCTTTACCGGCCTTGTTATAATAGAATTAAGCAAATAAGAAAGTGGGTGAATACATTTAGGTGTTAAATAAATACAAGATCAAACAGATTGTTTGTGCCTGCCCTTGTTTGGTGTGGTCATATTTACATTATTAATAATGAAACTCCTATTTCTTCCTTTCTTTTCATAATTCCTCTTTTTTCTCCATTGAAATTAGAAAGTGAAAAGAAATGTGTAGTTAAGAAAATGGATGGAAAAGCTCTAAAGCATTGAACTTTTTCTTTCATGTTAAAAAAAGCCTGTAATGGCAACAATTCAATGGAGGGGTTTGCATTTGTGGGAGTTTGCCAATGCCTGGTTTTCGAAGATGATAAGATACTTTTGAAAATGTCAATTTGGATCCATTAAGTCTTAGGAGTGAGAAAAAAAGTTAAAAATTAATTTAAAATTATAGTGTTTGATTAGAATATTTTTTATTCAATTCAGATTAAGATTGGATATTAAATATATATATATTAAATTCAGATCGAATTTTAAATTAAAATATAAAATATAAAAATAAAAAAATAAACTAAATCAAACTATTTATTGTTATTAGTTTTTATATATTTTTTAAATTTTTATAAGATAAAATTAATTATTTTATATTTAAATATATTTAAAATCTTATTAAAATAATATATAAAACCAAAAAAAAATCAAAAATTTATGAACCAAAATAAATCAATAAAATTCAATTTAAATCAAATTAATTTAAAAAATAAATTCAAATTCGAGTTAGATTTTACAAATTTATAATATCATACATTATTCGAATAAAATTAAACTAAATCTGATCTCATCCATTATTATCCATACCAAATTTTTGGTCAAAGATTTTGACAGCTTGCTGATTAGCATAAACCATAAAAGAAAAAAGAAAGCAACACCATAGTATTTAGCAGTTCCATCTTTTTCATTTATGCTTTGAATGAAATCCCACAAAAAAAAAATAGTAAAAAACAAAGGAAAAGTGGAAAATCTCAATGCCGGGTGAAAGAATTTTATGGCCCAAAGGTCATACATTTTGGAGTCTAACAGCCATCTCCATTCCTGGAGTTGCTTCAGTTGAGCAGCTTTTACATTTTCTTCACCCCCTTTCAGATCCCAAATAGGCAGATCGTGTTTCTTCCTCTCTTCACTAACACGAAACTAAAGAATCTATCAATATCTAGACTTGCTATTCAGCAGGTACAAAGCAGCCAATCCTTTCAAAGTTAATTCATAAACATTGATAGTAAGAATTTTTGGCTTAAACCACCATACCAGAATCTTAACTGCCTCTTAGTGAACAATGAAAAAGGTTTACTTTTGATGGCCAGAATACAACAACCAAGAAGTTCGTGTTATTGTCTCCATATTAAAATAATTTCAGATTTAATTCAATTAATTTACATATTTATTATTAAATAATAAAATATAATTTAAAATTCATAGTCCGAGAAAATGTTATCTACTACTTTGAAACGACTTATGTGAGTGCGGGTCATGCCAAATCTTGCCTTTTGTTTAATCCTCTTACAGTTTCGTTGAAAAGTGCCGTTAAAAGAAGGGGAAAAAAAAACCATTTGTTGGACAGCCAACCATTATCTAACTAGAATTTATGCTGGCTTAACGTTACCAGATGAAGGCTGACTTGGGAGATTTAGGAGAATATCAAAGACTGAAATTTTCTAATTAAAATAGAGAGAAGATTATTAGAGGAGCAATATTTTTATACCTTTTTGCTTAGTGTTATCAATCACCAACCCCAGCAGTAGTACTGCCCTAAACTAAAACAGGCATGGAAAAAAAATGATGGTTTAGAAATTTCTTGGCCTAAAATTTTCTAATTTTGCTTTTCCAAATTTATCATGTAAAGTTTCAATTTCATATTTGGAATATCACGAATATACGCATAAAGAGTTAAATTCATATTTATAAAATAAATTTAAATAATAAAATTATAAAATTTTCGAATTAAAACGACATGAATTAAGTAATTGTCTCCGGATTGAATAATTGTTTCCATTTTAGGAAATCCTGGTGGTGTGTATTTCTGGTATTGCTAGTTTTGCCGATACATTTCTTACATGCAAACCTAATGATGGGATACAAAAACAGCCAAGCCTTAATCAATGCGTGCAACAAATAATTGAGCTTCTCCTTGGTTGACATTCGGCGAGGTTTTATAGTTTCTCTCATGAGCTCGTAACCAACTTTTTCTGGTAGCTTGTTAACGCCTTAGTTGGATTTTCAGCAGGTTTTTTTTTTTTTTTTTTTTGTCTCGAGTTCTGTCCTAGATTGGGATATGGCAACATCAAACATGGGATTTCTTTGTTGGGGAATCTTACTTTTACTGTTGACCGCTTGGGGTTCTTAATTCCATTTCATTGGGGAATAAAGTTGATCTTGTGAGTTGTAGTGTGAATGCCATTAATACAATGTAATATTCCGAAAAACTAGTTGAGTTTTTTTGTTTTTGCAACTTTAACATGATAGAAATTTAATACTACTATAACCCAACAAATGTTTGGCTCGGGACTTTTCAAATATTAAATATGCTTTGATTTCATGGGTTTGAAAACCTTTGCTTTGATCCTTGAGAGAAAGGCTCACTCAAGCGCTTTGATGACTGTGGGAGTAAACTTGAAAGAGAAGAAAATGCATGTGGAAAGTACGAAGTTCGAGTCACTGGGTGACTATAGTGTTGCCTTGCTCTTCGTGTGGGCACATGGTTTGCGCACTGAATTCCTAGTCCCTGTTGGCGTTTTGTCCTTTCTTGATGGGCCTGTTGTTGAAATCCAAACCCTTGGGGGCAAGGTTCAGCTAAAATCGCCCAATTTAATTGTTAAAGCACCCACAAAGCCATAAGTAATCATGCCAATAGGTGGGTGAAAGGGACCTATATATTCTTTCTTGCAGCTCAAAGCCCCAAACCTTAGCTTGTTGGGCCTTGTACTTAACCTCCAGGCAAATCACCCTTAACCATGCAAATAGTCAATGAAAAGGGAATCCGTTGGCCCTTGAAGAAGGCAGGAAGATGACTTTCAACTAGATTTAATAATTTTAAATATGATATAAAAATAATATAAAAAATTATATGTGTTTTAATATTTATTTGTTTTAATATAAATTTTGACATAACATAATTTATGTTTTTTACGTTTTGATATGTTTAAATATGTGATATGATACGAATAATATGTTTAATTTAATCTTATCATATAAATATATGTTTAACATGTTTAAAACTTTTTTTATATTTATTTTAATTTAATATAAATATATAAATATTATTTTAATTTTGAATCTTTTAATTATGAAATTTAATTAGTTATTTAATATCATATAAAAATTATAAATATTTAATTATAATATTCATTTAATAACTATTTTAAAATTATTTTTGTATTAATAATATAAATACAATATAAATATTAATATTAGTCTTACAC